AGTCCAGTGATACTCAGTCAACTATGACCAAGTATTTGTACTCTCTTCACATTAATGCCGTTTTAGAAATAAAAAATCCTGTCATGTTTACTTTAGTTTTAGAAAGCGACAGTAGTCATCGCAACTTAGTGTGCACTTTGACTTCTACACTTTGCTGACTTATCCTTTTGTAACAAGAACACAAAAACTTGAATGTATCCGTAGTTTGGATAGGCCAAAAAGCATCATAAATGCATCGATCACACCTTTCACACTGACAACATATTAAACAAACAGTAAGCATCCATAAGTGACAATGAATATCACACCTGTATAATAGTATATCAGCAGCCATAAGAACAGGATATGAATACAGACCAAGGCAAACCGTCTCCCTTGTTGTGTCACTTTTACTCTGTAATAGAGAGATATAGAGCATATAAAAAAAGGGTGTGTCCATGGTAACAGATTAGTAGTTCTAGGATACTGTATATGCCGATTTCATGTCAAAGAGAATATCATATAGTATGGCTCAATAATTCCAGTGCCTTAATTCAGACTGGGCAGAAACCTCACATCCATCTTCTGTATTGCTATTTTTCAAGGAATGTTTGGTCTTTTCAGTTTAAGCATATTTTCCATGTTTTCATGTACGTATGCTCTCATAGATGAAATGTTTTTTGTGCATTTCAATTGTTCAATGAACACATTGTATAATATTATAGTTATTTTAGGATTTAAGGATTTAAGTTATAGCCTCCACAGATTTCATAACAGAAAAAGATCATAATATTACTTAATTTATAATGTATTCATGGTGATGATCGACACTCTACCTTCCATTGATGCATTCTATTGAGAATTCCCACTGGAGTGATGCAACTAAGAATCCATGCCAACTCTGCATGTTGGGATACCTAATAAAAAACACTACAATCAATTGACATAACAGTATGTAACATTGTGGAATACCACAACTCTCACTGTACCACAGGTAAACCATTCTTAATACTCGGTTACAATTAGCTTAGTCCCCCAGGCATTTCTTGCTTGTGCCCCACATCACTGGCTCATCCCAGAACCTGTTTGTGCCTGTAAGGAATGCCTGCTCTTCCCAGGACCTGTTTGTGCCTGTAAGGAATTCCTGCTTGTCCCAGAACCTGTTTGTGCCTGTAAGGAATGCCTGCTCGTCCCAGAACCTGTTTGTGCCTGTAAGGAATGCCTGCTCATCCCAGAACCTGTTTGTGCCTGTAAGGAATGCCTGCTCATCCCAGGACCTGTCTGTGCCTGTAAGGAATGCCTGCTCGTCCCAGAACCTGTTTGTGCCTGTAAGGAATGCCTGCTCATCCCAGAACCTGTTTGTGCCTGTAAGGAATGCCTGCTCATCCCAGGACCTGT